CGCGATGATAGCCGGAAACTGAGATACTTTTGCACAGTTTCTTATAATTACCCGGGTGAGAACTTTTGCACGGTGGGAGGGAGGGGAGGGAAGGTGAGAGGGGGAGGGGGGGAGGGGAGAGGGAGGGGAGGGGAGGGAGGGAAGGGTGAGGGAGGGAGGGAGGGGTGAAAGGAAGGGGAGGGAGGGGAGGGGGAGGGAGGGGGAGGAGGGGAGAGGAGGGAAGGGTGAGAGGGGAGGGGAGGGGGGGTGAGGGAGGGAGGGGAGGAGGTGGTGAGGGAGGGAAGGTGAAAGGGAGGAGGGAAGGGTGAAAGGGAGGGGGAGGAGGGAAGGGAGGGAGGGGAGGGTGGGAGGGGAGGAGGAGGGGGAGTGAAAGGGATGAGGGGGGAAGGGTGAAAGGGAGGAGGGGAGGTGGAAGGGAGGAGAGAGGAGTAGGAGGGAAAAGGAGGGATGGCGGGAGGAGGGGGGAGGGAGCCATAGTTCGGATGAGCTTGCGTCGAGGTTTTGGGTTTGTGTTGTATGGTAGGGAGGTTCTTCCTATTTCTTTCTTTCTCTTCTCTTTCTTCTCTTTGCTTTTTTCTCTCTCTCTTTCGTTATTTTTTTCTCTCTCTTTCGCCAGAACCCCTTCCACCTCTCTCCAATCTTGCTAAACCTATAATTATCCCTTCCATCCCATCCTTTCTCATCCCCTGCCCTGAGAAAAGAGAGAGAGAGAGAGAGGAAAGAGAGAGAGAGAGAGAGAGAGAGAGAGAGAGAGAGAGAGAGAGAGAGAGAGAGAGAGAGAGAGAGAGGAGAGAGAGAAGGAGAGATGAGAGAGAGAATATAACATAAAACACTAGACTGAGATAGACCGAGAAAGGCAGACACAGTCGGACAGAGAGAGAGAGAGAAAGACAGAGACAGAGAGAGAGAGAGAGAGAGAGAGAGAGAGAGAGAGAGAGAGAGAGAGAGAGAGAGAGAGAGAGAGAGAGAGAGAGAGAGAGAGAGAGAGAGAGAGATTAAGCAGAATGAAATAGACAGACAGAGAAGCGGAGAAGCAGAAAGCGACAACAAGCGCGCTTCACGGCCGAGCAAGGATAGTAGAAAATGATCCCACGACTGAATCTCGTGTTCATCTCTCATCTCCCATCTCTCTTTCATCTCTCATCTCTCATCTCTCTTTCATCTCTCATCTCTCATCTCTCTTCTCATCTCTCATCTCTCTCTTCATCTCTCATCTTCTCTTCATCTCTCTTTCTCTCTCTTCTCTTACCTCTCTGGATTCTCTTTTTCCTGTGCTTCTTGGAGAGCGAGAGCGGCGACCCAGGAACCCGCGATGGCAGCCTCACACAGCGGGCCGCGAACTCCTTCAGTGTAGGTGCTGGAAGACCTCGTAGTGGCAGAGCGAGTGGGCGACGGCGGAGGCGAAGGAGGGGGATGATTTCCTTTTCTCATGTTGTTGTTGTTGCTGCTGTTGTGTTGTTATTACTGTCAGCTTTAGGTGTGGTAAGTACTGGTGTGTGTGTGTGTGTGTGTGGTGTTTCGTTACGAATATCATTTCCTAAGTAATGTGTGTGTGCATGTGTGTGTTTCTGTGTGTGTGTGTGTTTCTGTGTGTGTGTGTGTGTGTTTGTACGCACGCACATAAAGGGAAACCGGAAAAGCTAGTAGATGAGAAGACCGCTAACATAATTATGACAAGTGATACAATTAAGATCACGGAGGCATTGTACAAAGACAGGTTCTGCTGCCGATGCGATGCTCCACAAAAATCCAAAAAAAAATAAAGAACACCCACGCCAAAATGAGACAGAGAGACATACAAACGCACAGACACGGGGACGCCCAGATAAACAGACACATCCAAATTTAAAGAAAAAAAATACACACCAAGCAGAAAAATAAGAATAAAAGGTAAAACCCCGAGCACTGGAATAATAACTGTTACGGAACGATTCTCCTCCCACGCGGTTGCTCAGTGTCACACAATATACTTTTTTTTTGTAATTATTTTGGAAAGATTTTACGTGTCACTTCAGTCCTTTGTTATTTTCGATATTGTACGTGGAGTTTAGAGAAAATGAAGTACTTGTTTTCGACGGGTGGATATGGTACGTTTTTTTTTTAACTAGTTTTGTCTCATTTCATAGCATTGTTTTTTATTATAGTTTATTTTTTATTAGCATTGTTTTATCATAGTTTGATTTTTTTCCTATAGCATATTTTTTTTATCATATCTCCTTTGTTTAAATCTCTCTCTCTCTCTCTCTCTCTCTCTCTCTCTCTCTCTCTCTCTCTCTCTCTCTCTCTCTCTCTCTCTCTCTCTCTCTCTCTCTCTCTCTCTCTCTCTCTCTCTCTCTTCTCTCTCTCTTTTCAAAAAAAAAAAAAAAATCTTAATGTCTTCATTATCATCATCATCATACCCTCATTGTTATCAAGAGTAGCAGCATGTCCATCGCCATCATTACCACCATCATCAAAATTGTCATCGTCATCATCACCAACATCATCATAATCATCGTCATTATCGCCACCAATTCACAGTAAAGCATTTTAGGAGTCGCCCATGTCAGTTTTACGTTTATTGATATTTTTAGAAATCTGGGATAACGTTCTTCAAGTTAAAAATGTAAAAAATCTTATTCGTTCAATAATATGTTTTGCAACGACTGAAGAAGGTCCAGTTCACTTGGAGGATGCAAATGGATTTTTGAAAATGAAAATAAATAAGAAATCTTGCTGTAATGTGTGAATTTAGACAGAGGAAGAAGCACAGACAAGAAAGACGGACAGACAGGGAAATTAGAATAACTTTCATAAACAACAATTATATCTAGAGAAGCTCTTGATCCAGTATCGAAAAAGAGAGAGAAAGAAATCCATTTCCCTCTGCAATATGATGCAAGTTGCTGACAATAAGAATCCAATGTTGCGATCTGGAATGCGCTTGTTATGTTTACCTTCCAAAGCATCAACGCAGAAGAGGCTGTACATGATGTGAAGAGTGGACTAGGCGCGCCTGTTGTGGATGGTGTCGGGTTGTGTAGTAGTTTGTGGATACTGTATTCTGTTGTTTTATGAATTAAGTATAGTGATACACGATTTTATGAGGGGTGTATATGTGGATGTAGCTGTTTATGAGTGTTTTTGATATAGGGCTGTGTATCTATGGTGTATCTTAGTGTATTATTTTATGAATGGAGGATTATTATGTATTATTCTACAAATGGGGTATTCTCATGTAGTAGTATTTTATGAATGGAGTAGTCTGATATTTTCATAAATGGTGCGATTCGATGTATCATTTTATGAATGGAATATTCTGATGAGATCTTGATATGATAATCCCCCACAAATTCTTATAGTATAGAGGAAGAAGAATGAAAGTTAAGAAAACCGCATGGATATTTCACGCAAATTCGACATGAAAATGAAATGAGGAAATGAGGAGGAAAACAAACAGAACTTTTGGACTCGAATGCAAAACCGTCAAGGAAGTGAACGCTTCAGGAAATCGGTTCAATGGAAAATAAAGGAAATAGCCAATAATCAGCGGAAAGATACGAACACTGATCAATATCTATATAAAAAGAGGATTATCTCCATACAAAGGAAGCTGCAAATCTGGAGAAATTGTTAAATCAGA